GGAAACGTTGCCTGCTAGAGCGCTACACTGAACAGAACACGAATAGCGTTAATGTTGGGGCTTTTACGGATTCGAATTGGTAGCTTTTGTAGAATGGTCAATTTGGAAACTCACACACTTACACACACACACACACACACACACACACACACACACACACACACACACACACACACATACACACACACATACACATACTCACACACACACACATACACATATTTGAAAAAGCACACTTACACAGACTAACCTGCAAATACACTCTCTTTCATACGCACATATTACACAAATACACACGCACAAACACTCACTAGCACACAAACAAACACACGCACAAACAAAGGTGCTAAACAGAGAACATAAAATTGAAGCAATGAACTCTCTTCTAGGTAGCAGCATAAGTTTTTACAATTCCTCCTGTTGAATTAAGTATTAAATAAAAAAAAAATGTACCCGATATGTTTAGTTACGTCGTGTTTTACTATCGTATCCACACGACGTGGGGAACTCTGTGCCACAACTTTCTAAAGAGAACATTTACTCGTTAATCCGATCCGTACGCTTTGTATAGCAGTCTGTCAAAATGAATTTGTGAGAAATACTGAAAGTTTCAAAGAGATTTTCTAGAAGTATTCTAAAATGTGAAGAATACAACCCCTAGGATACAAAATGACCCCAGGGAGTACGTATAGGGTTAAGAAACTTTTAAAGAAATATTAATAATTATTGGTTAACACTATCCTTTGTAAGCAAAATTTTGAATGTGAGAATGCATGTGTATATCAGGTTTGATATAAATTTTCATTACCATCGATTTTCCCAAAATAGTGGGAGAATGTATAACACTCTCTTTAATTGGAATTCAAAAGTTACTTTTACAATGAAAATTAATTCCTACTCCGTTTACATTTCTCCATATCAAAATCTGACCAAATTGCTCACGTTAAGTGTTAACAGTACAGTCATAGACTGATGGGCGATTCCTTAAAAATGCATTATTCATCTTCGTTATTGGTTTAACAATACACAGATATCAGAAACATAGACACTTTTGCTTTACATGAATTGCTTTATTTCAATAAATATCTTTTCTCAAAACCGAGCTCCCTATCTGACACAGTCTTTGAAAATTTAAGGGAAACGTAACACATGATGATGATATATTATTATTTATAACAGTGTCTAAGAATCTTTTGACAACTAAGGTACATTATCAATTGGTCGGTTTTAACTACAAGCGGGCTATCCCAGATTTCTGGGGTTTCCAGAAATCGTGATCTAAAACACCAAAAGAGGGCAATACTTTACCGATAGGAGAAGTTTGGTTTCATTGGTGTATTTTATTATTATATTATTTGTTTTGTTATAGAGGAAAACTCTCCTTTTAAAGAAACTGAACAAGGGGCAAAAACTTTACCGACGTTTTGCTCAAAACAGCATTTTTCGAGATAGCCACCTGAGCTTAAAAGCAACCAATTGTATGATTATTTTACAGAACTACACCTACTTGATCGACGCAACCGGTGCATGCACCAGGGAGCCTCTGCCTATCTTCGGATACATCACAAGGTGTCTTCCACGTAAGTATAATTTATTATTGTTGTCGTTTTTTTTTTTACCTCTAGCTGTTCTTAAAAGAAAATGAACTCATTTTGAGTCTTCAAATCCCATAACCTCTTTTACTGTATAAAAGAAAAATACTAATTTGCCTTCCTACTAATCTTCTTTCTAGAGGTATTTAAATCTTATTTTTTTATGTTAACTCAAAGTATATTCCGGTTACTCTTTGCTCATTAAAAAAATCTAAGATCAGTTTCTCTCAAATGGTAAAACAACAATGAAGCAAAAATGTAAAGCAAAAGACTGCATTAAAATTTGCTTTTCAGTTTAAAAACTGGCAATGTTTTGCCCATAATTATGAGACCTTAAACCAGACATGGACAAACTGGGGCCAGCAGGATATATTCAGATTGGAATAATTTCAGTCCAGCCTCCTAGTCGATTCAGTAATTAATATTGAATATAACCCTGGGTGCTCCTATAATTGATAGAATCAAAAGTATCCTGCTTCAAATTAAAACAGATAGTTTTTTGGAACGGCTAGATGCAAAAGATTTCATATCTTATCTCAGGAAATACAGTGTCCGTTTTAGTTTCACTATTGAGAGCTTGGATATTTCAACCAATTTTACCCAGTTTATGTGGATTTAGCCTGCAAATATTATCAGTAATTGTGTAATCCAAAACGCGAATAAGACACTCTGAATATGCCTGAATTCATCCAAAGATATGTCTGACATTTTCTTTTACTATCATGTATTACGTAAACCCCTTTTCAAATCTGGTCCACAGCAAGCAGCGTGTTCCTTGGTGAGGTTTTCGAGGGTTTCGTCAACAAAGTCACCTTGAACGGTTGGCTGATCCCTGTGAACAAGGACTTCAATGTGACTCTGTTGACGTACACAGAGCCTGGACAAACTGACTCTTACTTCGTGCTCAGGAGAGATGACAGTAAGTAGATTATTGTTGTTGTTGTTGCTGTAGTTGTTGTAGTTGTTGTAGTTGTTGTTGTTTTTCTTCTTCTTCTTCTTCTTCTTCTTCTTCTTCTTCTTCTTCTTCTTCTTCTTCTCTCTCTCTCTCTCTCTCTCTCTCTCTCTCTTCGTCGTCGTCTCTTCTTCTTCTTCTTCTTCTTCTTCTTCTTCTTCTTCTTCTTCTTCTTCTTCTTCTTCTTCTTCTCAATATCGTTATCATCATCATACTTATTTTTGTTGTTGCTGTTGTTGTTGATATTGTTATTACCATAATTATTATTATTTATTCTATTTTTAAAAAAATATATTGTTTATTATTATTATTATTACTATATTATTATTATTATTATTATTATTATTATTATTATTATTATTATTATTATTATTATTATGATTTTTGTGATTATTGTTATTATTATTATTATTATTATTATTATTATTATTATTATTATTATTATTATTATTATTAGTAGTAGTAGTAGTAGTAGTAGTAGTAGTAGTAGTAGTAGTAGTAGCAGCAGCAGTAATAGTAGTAGTAGTAGAAGTAGTAGTAGTAGTAGTAGTAATAGTAGTAGTAGTAGTCGTAGTCGTAGTAGTAGTAGAAGTAGTAGCAGTAGTAGTAGTAGTAGTAGTAGTAGTAGTAGTAGTAGTAGTAGTAGTAGTAGTAGTAGTAGTAGCAGTAATAGTAGTAGTAGTAATATTAGTAATATTATAGAATGGTGATTAGTATTACTATTAATGGGATTTATATTAGTATAATGATAATTATTATTATGCAAT